ATCTGGCTCAGCATCTGTTTCTTCTCCCTCATTATCTTTCTCTGTCTGCCTGTCTGTTTGTCTGTCTCTGGCTTCTTCCTAAAGAACGAATGAGTAATCTGTAGAATAGTAATTTAAAAACAAAACATATTCTGAACTTAATGTAAACTGTTACACTTCATTATGGATACGTTTCTGTAAATTCATTTAATAAAAATATGCAGGAATTTGAGTCTTTATAGATTTTATATGATATGATAACAATTCTTTTGCATAAACGAACTATGAACGATGTTTCTGGTTTATGATTATAAATATGACTGGTGCAATTTATGAAACTAGAAAGTAAAAAGAAGAAAAAGCTAATCCAAGACAACATTATATCTTTTTATGAGAGACCCAGAGAGAGAAAAGATGTGTTTGATTCTGGCCTTAGGATGGCAGCAGTTTCCAGCATTGACCTTGAAACTTTACCAAGTTATGCTAATCTTATCACTGATTTTAGAGTATTGCTTTGAATTAATTCATATTTCATCCTCCGAATAAGACTGATATCCATGAGTAAGCAACTTGGAAATAGAAGCCCGACCTAGGTAAGTTATAAAATATACTATAAAAATATTTCCCCGTGCCGGGGTTCGAACCAGGGACTCGCGGCTAAAACCCTAGCCATTAGACCACACTGGATTTACTTATTGAATGAGGCTGTGCTTACAATAACATTTAACCTGTGATCAGAAATGGTATCAGATACCACATTAGATGGAAGGGGGTGTGGTGCCGTAATCTCTCCACCACTGATCCTTACAAGAAAATTTCTTCCTTGTGCCCATTTCATCGTCAAATTTGATGTGCTACATCCTTCAATACTATGTGCAAACAGCAAACTGCATACGTTTTATCTTTAGGCTCATATTAACTTACTAAAGAAGACATTCATACAAACACATTCACAACATACACTACATCTTTCCATGCAGATTGATCACTGTACCGCCTGTTTAAGATTGTTTCGCTTGAAAAGTAATTCGGAATTGATCGCACAAATTACGCTGAGCCTCACGAGCAAGCAAGATGGAAATCAAATGAAGCCAAGGCTATTATTCAAAGCAAGGAAATAATGGTTTATAAAATCCGTAGCTTCCCGTGCAAGGAATCGAACGCGGTCTCGCCATTAGCCTTCACGGGGTCTATTATCATTGTGTCATTTGAATGTGTTGATAAAGACTTTGTTGCCCCGCGGTGGTATCAGAGTTGGCCTGTCATGAATGCTAGCCACACGCAAAAACAATAATAATAATAATAAAATTAGAATAGAAAATAATGATAATAATAATAGAATAACTAATTCACATGAATTAATAAAAAATGGTGATGTGAACATTAAATATTAATGTCTCTAAATGCCTCACGTATTTGCGTTAGACAAATATACATTTGCGTGCGTGCGCGTGTGTATAAACGAAGCCTGTTTTTCTATTTGTCATCATCGAAGTGTACGTTATAATGCTGTTCATCTGGAGCACTGATTACCGATACAAAATCCATCAACAGAAAAGCACGGCATCGTCCCTCGGGGGATTAAAGTCCTTCGTGAAGGTCACCCAGAAATACAATTTTAAATAGGCCTACATTAAATGATATGAGGCGAGTGCACTTCGGCGGCAGGGAAGCGTTCTTCCGAGGGCAGCAGAACACTTGCCGCAGACGCCGTTCTTGTTCCTGTTCTCATGGAAGATGGAAAAGGAAGTGAGGTAGAGGGCACTGCAGCAAGCGATGTGGTTTTATGTGCAGACGAGGCTTAAATGCTGAGCGGTCATTTTAGGACGAATTTTGTTTTTTAGAAAATGTAGAATTTTGTCCTTCAAAAATTGTTACTTTTTGTTCTTCAAAAATTTTTTTTTCAGAAATTGTAGAATTTTGTTCTTCAGAAAATGCAGATAATTGACAATGGGTTGCATGAAACAGAGAGAGAATTGAATGATATTTGGTTAATAACAAGATGGAATGATTATATAAGAGTACAGGAATTGATACATGAGTGGGAAAGAAGGGCAGGTAGACAGAGAGAAAGGAAAGGAAAGAGCGAATGAATGGGAGAAAAAATTGTGGAATTTAGCTTAAAGCGGGATCTGACCAAGGGAGCTGTGGAAGTATCTAGTGACGTCATCAAGACCCCGTGCTTCTCCCGAAATTCCCGTTGGTTCTGCAGCGATCGCAGGCGGATGTCGTAGATGCTGGTCCGAAGACGAAGTTGGATCTGCTGAAGCAATTTCTCTGAATAAGGTCTTTCTAAAGAGAAGTAAAAAGGAAAGTTACTTCGCTCGACCAAGTGACGTTGCTTCCTAAAAATTCCGTTATTCAGCAGACAGGGAAAGACCTTTTGTCTGCTCTAGTGTTCATCCGTACTAATGCTTGGACAACTTGGAAACAGAGGTCTTTGTCAGGATTTTAGGAAGAAGTTTAACATGATTCTTCACTTCCGACAGCCTTCGGGCACACGACATAATCGTCAGTAATTCCACGTCGCGCATTTCATCCACATGTTTCACGGTTCCTTTACCTTTACGCAAATCAAACTCATCTAATGCGTATAAAGTCAAAGCATACGAGACCTACACAATTCACAAGTAAGCACAGATCCCTTTCCAAGTTATGCTAATCTTACCATTGATTTCACATTCATATTTTATCCTACGAAAGATCGTGATCTACATGAGTGAGCAACGTGGAAGCAGAAACCCGACCACGGGAAGAGAAACATGATATAAACTTGCAATGAGGAAAAGACAAAACGGTTGATAATTTCCTTTGCCGGGAATCGAACCCAGGACTCGGGGTGGAGAGCCGCATATCCTCATTTCTAGACCACAACGGGTTTATTAATGTAGTAAGGTTAAGCTTATTATAAAATCAACTTGTGATCAGCAATGGTGTCATATCATACGATTTGTTAGATGGGAGGAGGTTGCGGTAATCTCCCCACCACTGATCCTTATCGGAACAATTCTCACCTTTTGCCCATTTCAACATCAAAGTAGATGCGCCACGCCCTTCGGCGACATTCGGGAACGGCAAACTGCGCTTCCAAAGGCTTTCCGTTGCCACATTTCTTTCCTCTAGAAATAGGAGAATTTAGAAGTCTTCATTTGACAATTTCGAGGTCTGCCTTTCACCATAAACGACGAGGGAAACGAAGGAATATAAAAAGTGAGAGAATAAAAGAAAACGTAACATCAAGCCGAAAAAGCGCCAATGTCTCCGAGCATCTCAAGGAGGCGGACGACGGACGGAAAACTGCTCCCCCCCCCCATCACTCTTTCTCTCCCTTCCTATCTCGTTTTGATTTGTTTTCTTTTTATAGCTCTTCGCTAATGTTTATTTACTTTTACTATCGTTATATTTTTGTGTACATAAAATGACTTCGTTGTTCTGGGTCCCTAGATTTATATATATATATATATATATATATATATATATATATATATATATATATATATATAAAATGAAAAAGAAAGAAAAGAGAGTGAGAGAGGCAAAGTGAGAGAGAGGAGAGAGAGAAGAAGAGAAAGAGAGAGAGAGAGAGAGAGATGGATAGATAGCTAGATAGATAGATAAATTGCTTATTATCATCACCACCCAATATTATCACTGTCGCATCGTCATATAATCATCAAGGGGATCATATCACACACACACACTGGCATATGAGGTGTAAAATTATTATAATTTGAATAATTTTTAGTGCTATTATTATGATTATTCTTATTACTATTATCATTAGTATTATACTATTAGTTCTATCATTATCGTGATTACATTATCATGTATTATCATATTTTTGTTATTATCATTAATATTAGCATCACTGAT